CCTGGTGAGCTGCTGTGAGTTATTGTAGACAATACTGAGCTAGATGAACCAATGGTTTGAATCGGTATACAACAGCTTCCTATGTTCCTAAAGGCAGTATATAGATACAGTGGTACCTCGGGTTACATACGCTTCAGGTTACATACGCTTCAGGTTACAGGCTCCGCTAACCCAGAAACAGTACCTCAGGTTAAGAACTTTGCTTCAGGCTGAGAACAGAAATTGTGCGGCGGCGGCGCAGCGGCAGCAGGAGGCCCCCATTAGCTAAAGTGGTGCTTCAGGTTAAGAACAGTTTCAGGTTAAGAACGGACCTCCAGAAAGAATCAAGTACTTAACCCGAGGTACCACTGTACACACACTAAATAAAGGTTTAATCCCCCTTGAAAGCTGTCAGCGTGTCTTGTGAGAAGTATCATTTTCATTATGCGTTGTGTGAGAAGTGCTTCCTTTTTTGACAGTCCTGAACTTCTTTTATTGGCCTAATTTGGTTTCCCCACCCTGTATTATGAACAAGGTTTAACAGTGACAGTCTATGAAAAGTGGCTTTCCGATAGGACCATTACGGGAGACACCTTGACCTTTTCCCCTCTTACAGCTTCCTATGAGATTTGTCCGACCACCAAATCTTGGCTTAAACTGCCCCTAAGAATGTTTATTTCGGATTAAATCCCTTCTTAACTTAGCTCCGATGTTCTTGCCAGTCTTATGAAATAAGTGCAACTGGTATGGAATGAAGCGTTGTTTCTGTTTTCAGAAAGGTTGCACTAAACCTGTCTGCCATAACTGCATTTAATCCTTTTAAAAATAATAATAATATGCAAATATCACAGAATGAAAAGAAATGTCGGCTACCATTAACAGTAAAAATAATCCATCAATCCTAATTCAAACCTATCTATTAATCAAAGCAGTCCGTTTTCCCCAATTAGATATCCAAACAAAATTGCAGGAAGGGCAGTACGCATTTTAGACTGCTGCGTAATGGTGGTTGGGTTTTAACCTTCCAACGTGGAAGCACAAGGCTCTTTGCAACCATAAGGCAATTGCAAGGTCCTCTTTTGTTGCCTGTCTGCTTGTCCCCACGCATCACGGGGATGTGTGAACATCCACAAACCTCAAGGATTTTCCCCCAAAACAAAGTTAATATGAACAACTGCAGCTGGCCAAAAAGATGTCACAGGACACATCCACAGCATATGCCTCAAAGAGACATTGTCAGCACTGCATCACCAACACCTATCAGAAGCTGAGATAAATAAGCACATAATAATTGCCTTGCTTGATCAAGCCAGTGGTCCATCTGCAGATGGCAGATAAAAACAGCATCATTTAGCATAAATACAAGGGAAATAGAATTCAACCCAGTATTCTAGGATCCAGCAAAAAGCAGGATGGCTGTGCAATGGCAATGCTTCTGGGTACCAGTTGCTGGAACCCACTGAAGGCAAGAGAGCTCCTGTGCTCAGGCCCTACTTGTGGGTTTCCTACCAGCCACTGGCCTGGTATCAATAGCAGCTCCACACTGTGTAGTTGAGTATAGCTGCACTGGAATTCCCCACAATGCCTCAGAGTGATGTCTGGGCATTATGGGAAATAAATGTGGCAGCTCAGAATCTGGGACATACATATTTTTGATGAGTAGACCAAGGCAGGCATCATCAGTGGGTTCTTCTGGGCTCCAGCAAATGCCCAGGGATGCCATGTGCCAGCCCTTCTCTGGGGCACAACCAGTACCACTTAATTATTATTGCCTCAAGGTTCAGGACTAGCACATAATCACCCATGCTCCAGAAAGTAAGCAAGCGTCCCAAAGTTCATTACCAAGGTCATATCCTTTGGAGATGGCTACAGAACCATTGAGCTCTCTAAAAATAGGAGTGTGCTTGTCTGTTGAGCCACTGTGCCTAATCGCCATCAATTAGGATAAGTGTTCATCAAATGCAGGAGGTCATCAACGTAGCAGGTCATCTGGTGGTCCTTGTACAGGTAATAAGTGCATTGCACTAGAACTGCATCTCTCCTTGATTGGGGCAAGGGGGGGGGGAGGCATCCTTCCCGTAAAAGCAGTAGATGTCCTAAAGAAATTGGCTATGTAAAAATGTTTCTTCTTAGCAGCTGTGAAACTGACCTTGTTGCTTGCTGGAAAGAGAAGGGCAGGAGCGTGAATCACAATTATTTTTCTAGGATGAGGAATTTGCATTAGGCCTATTTAAATAAAATGAAAGATGCTTCACGAAGAGCTAGTACAAAGCATCTGGGAGTCTTGATGCAGAAAAAAAACACAGGCAGCTGCCTTATACTGAGTCAAACCATTGGCTTATCTAACTCGGTATTGTCGACACTAACCGGCAGCAGCTCTCCAGAATTTCAGGCAGGGGACTGAGATGCTGGGGACTGAACTTGGGACATTCTGCATGCAAGTTACAGTTGCTCTCCAATCCAAATGGGTCCCCACCCCCACCTCCTTCATGTTCATTGACACAAGGCAAAATTGACCAGAACATTATCCTTTGTAAAAGCCTACTTGAAATGAATGGGGTTTCTTTTCTATGTTTGTTCCAGCCAGGCTTGCACAGAAAAACAGGAGTCTCCTGCTAGATTATAATGCAAAAGTCAGGACAGTCAGTAGCTCATCACGCTTCCCAAAATCTAAAGCAGCTACCTCATGACAGGGCCCACCTCTGGCTTTGTTGACCTGTTTTCAGTCGACTTTTTGAAATTCCAGCCAACTCTTGCGACAGGGAAACAGCACCGGATGCTACACAAATGCAGCCTTCAGCAACCGGATGCCCTCTAGATGCTTTGACTACAACCCCATCAGCTGAGGCTGCAAGTGGCTTTAGGCAAGATGGCCTTCCTAGGGCTCAAGCCTCCATCAGAAGTACTGTTAATATAAAAATGCTTTGCTTTCAATTGGGATTTCCCCTTTAAAAAGCCCTCTCTTGCAAACAGGCTATCCGCATTTCTGGGTTAGTGTTATCCCCCACACCCAACTTCCTCATTCAGATTCCTCCAAGATGGTGCAATAGGAAACTCTTGACGGAACACAAATACACGTTCACCTCTCCTCCCTCAGGCACCTTGCTCAAATATACTGGTACTCTGAGCTGGAATGACTCCTTAAATGTCAAATCTCACCCTAACCCTAAATAAATCTTCCTAAAGGTTAGGTTTTTGGAAGAGTGGGCTAGTTTAAATCGAACACCCCTCCTTCTGTGCCATTTTCTGGATTTTTACCTTCCCAGACACCTGTTATTAGCCACAGAGTATGTGGGGGTGGGAGGTATTTGATTGGGAGAACAGTGCAAAGGCTCAGTCACCCCCTTCCTCAGCACCACATTCCTCTTAACAGAAATGAAGAGCCCTCTACATCTGCTTTAAACTTTGGTTCTTTAAAAACACTATGCACCTCCCCTTCCCCATAGAATTGTAGAGTTGGAAGGGACCACAAGGTCCACTCCCTGCATGAATTTTCTTGCCCAATGTGGGATGAAGAGTTCTCATGGTTTGCCACCTGAGCTATCCATCATGGGCATAAAGGTAGGTAGTTGTGGCTGAAAATATAATGATCGGTACATTGCCACTCAGTGAGCTTCTGATGCGAGTCTTCCCAGTTCTAGTCCAGTACTCTTTAACAAACACACAGGCTCTAGTTAGTTCGAATCCTTTCACAGCACAGACACTTTTTCTACCTTGCCTTGTTTTTTTTAAAAAAAGAATCCCTCTATGCTGCTTCCCAGTCTTCATCTCATTCTAATAAACATTTCCAAGTTCCATATGCACTACCATATTGTGCTTATCTAAATGTGCATTCATTTAAAACATTTTATACTGTCCTTCATTTAAAAGAGGGGGGGGGGACAAGCTCCAGGATGGTTTGCAACACATAACAATAAAGCAGTCCATCCAGTATCCAATAAATACAGTAAAAACAAACAGTAAGCAATCACAGTAGCAAGATGGCACTTAGCTACTGTATGACAATGCAGATTCTAGCTGTTATGGATGAAGCAGTGCTGAGGAAGCTCCCTGGGCCCTGATTCTGTGTGCAAGTCATGCCTACTCGCTGGTATCCTCCTCCTCATAAACTTCAAAGATATGATCCTGGGCTGCTTTAGTGGGATGGAAGAGATTTACTCTGCATAAGCTCGGGAGCTCTCTTGTCTCCATTCTTCCATGTTACACTTCGTCAGACGACCGAATCCTGAATTGCGCAAAGTGCACAAAACCTTTATTCCAAATTAAGCTGCCATATCGCTTAAAAGGTGACACAAGACCCTTTGCTCGTCTTTTGTTTGTTCGACAGCACACCTCAGGTTTTGAAAGAGAGATGTGGGCCGTGAGACTTCTGCAGAACCCAAGGAAAACCAGGTTGTATCTGAACTTATGCAGAGCGCCTTCTTGTCACAGCTGCGCGCAGCGGGGCCACTGGCACGCACTGCGCACGCGCGCTGAAGTCGCTCGGCCTCGCTCTATTTTCGAGCCGGCCTCTTCTTGCGCGTGCGCAGAAGCTCCTACTTGAGCTGCTTTCTCTTCTGAGAGACAGAGAAAGAAAAGTGCAGAGTGGCCTAGATACGGAGTTTCTGGGTTGCTGGAAATATAACACCACGCTGTGCCACTTGAGGTGTTATATTTGAGGGGCCCACCTTATTTCCGTAATCATAAGCTTGCTTTAAACTTTTTCTTAGTATTGTGTAATTGTTGCGTTTTAATATCAGCGTTGTGTTTTAAATTGTTGCAGTCCGTCCTGGGACCTTAGGGTGAAGGGCGAGTAATAAATTGTAACGATAACAATAATGATCATCATCACCACGCCTACGTTAAAATTCTGAGGTTCTTCCGTCATTTATATGGGAGTCTACAGAACCCGGAAACTAACACTGCGCGCCGTTCTAACCTTTTCCTAAGTCTGCGGGCCCAAGTCCACAGAAGCGCCCGTCACAAGCCGCGCATGCTCTCCTCACGGACCGAATCCCTTCCCTCAAGCCCCTCCGGGCTCGCTTGGCCGTGGCCTCTTCGCCGAAGGAGCGCATGCGTAGTAGCGCTCTCCTCGCTCCCAGTCCCGCTCCTCCCTCTTTACCAGGTTTTACCTCCCTGAGGGGAAGGAAGGAGGGACGGGCCGAGGAGGATGGAGGAGGTGCCTGGCGGGGGTTGCCGCTGCCGCCGTCGTTGCCGCTCTTGGCCGCGCTCGCTGGGCTGGAGGAGTTGCCGGCCGGCGGCAGGCCTCTGAGGCCGGGGAGCGGGGGTTGGCCTCGCGCACCTGAGGAGGAGGCGGAGGCGGGGCCGCTTGGCGCGCGAGTGAGAAAGTGAGTGACGGGAGGCGGAGGGGGCGGGGCCGGAGGGCAGGGTTCGGAGGAGGAGGGGGCGCCCCACTCGAGAGGGGAGGCGGGGGGGGAGCTCTGTGAGGAAGGTGCAAGAGGAGGGGAAGGGGGCATGGAGGTGAGGCAAGAAAGGCAGGAGGAGAAGGGGAGGGGCCGGCGCAGGCAGAAATGGGGCTGTGGGGCAGGAGGGGCTGGAGAGTGAGAAAGGAAAGCGGCATGGGGCAGGAGGGGCTGGTGAGTGCGGGATATGGGGCAGGAGGAGTGGGTGGGGGGTATGGGGTGGGATGGGGGGGCGTGGGGCAGGAGAGGCTGGTTAGTCTGGGATGATATGGGGCAGGAGGGGTGGAGTGCGGTGTGGAGAGTATGGGGTAGGAACGGGTGGTGAGTGGGAGTATGGGGTAGGAGAGGCTGGTTAGTCTGGGAGGATATGGGGCATGAGGGGTGGAGTGGGGTATGGGGGGTATGGGGTAGGAGCGGGTGGTGAGTGGGAGTATGGGGCAGGAGAGGCTGGTTAGTCTAGGAGGATATGGGGCATGAGGGGTGGGGTGGGGGTATGGGGCAGGAGGGGCTGGTGAGTGAGAAAGTAAATGACAGGAGGCACTGGTGAGCGTGTGGGGATATGGGGCAGGTGGGGATGGGGGCGTTATGAGGCAGGAGGGGCTGGTGAGTGTGGGAGTATGGGGCAGGATGAGTGTGGGGTGTTGGGGGTATGGGGCAGGAGGGGTTGGTGAGTGTAGCAGGGGTAAAGGGCTGGAGTAGTGAGGGGCTAGTGAGCGAGAGAAAGGAAAATGGAAGTATGGGGCAGGAGAGTGGGGGTGTGTGAATTAGGAGGGGATGAGGGGAAAGGTGGCAGGGTGCGAGAGAAGTGGGTGTAAGGGGCAAGAGGGGGCAGGGATGAAGAAAAGTCATGGGGTTGGTGAGAGAGAAAATGGGGGTATGGGGCTGGAGGACCATGAGGGGTTAGAAGGGGGAAACGAGATAAGCAACAAATGATGAACACTGACAGGGAGTATGACAGAATAAGGAGAAAAAGAAAATGGGGAGATCTTACACCGCAGGGTATGTGGGTGCAGGTGGGAACTTCTAGAGAGTTTGGGATGGGGATTTGAAGATGGAGTGGAGCTGAGGGATGAACTTGGATGTTGAAGAAACTTGAGTTTTATCTAAATTTAACTTTTGGCACTACTGGGTGGATTTTTCATTGTTACATAAATCAAGAGAAGTGGAAAAGAGCCACACAACTGTATTTAACTATGTTTTCTAGTCAGCTCAGTTTCTTTCCCCAACTTTTTGGCTCTTGATTTTTTTCCGTTCCTGACATCTGTTGGCTGTGCCCATAGAGGGCTTGATAAGTTGAAGAACTGCTTTCTTGTTGTCTGCAAAAGCAGTAGGGTCTTGTGACAAAATACATCAGTTTTTGTTGGGAAATGTCAGTTCAAAGATGGGAATTTGTCAGATTTATTTTTTATCATTTTGACAAGGGTGCAAGTTTTACAGAAAGGAAAAGTAAAAATGGTGACAAATTATCAGCATTTCACAAGTGTTCAGACCTGTCCTGCTTTGGTAATGGCATAATGTTGGTTGGTTGGTTGTATTAAATGTCTAAACAAACCCACAGCTGTATGTAAAGTTCATTCTTTGGAGAAAACAAATCATGAGCCTAGGTGCGGACAAAACATGGTTAAATCAAACCATGGTTTAGCTTCTGGCAGTATGGTCATGATTTTCTCCCTGTGCACTAGCACGCTTGCTCATTCATGGTAAGCCATGTTTTTGCGTTACAAGCAAACTGGGTTGGTGGCTCTTTTCAGACATTAAGCCAAACCATGGTTATGTAATCTTAATGATGGTTTGGCATGGTGTCTGCACAGGCAAACATTGTTTGTGATCAGATAGTAAACCAGAATTGAAAACCATGGTTTGTCCTAGGTTTGTGTGGTTACTCCTTTGATAAGACATACTTACAGCCATAGCTCTGCTCGTGGAGCAAACTGAATTTATTTCAAGGGTGGCTTGCCTGTTGGGCAGCCCAAACCATGGTTTTGCCTGCATACTGGCTCATTTGATTTTCATCCTCTTAGCACTCCTTCTATTGTACAACTAACTCCAGACATAGTACTTTGACTATAACTGGTTTGCCAATTCAGACATTACATCAAACCATTGTTAGCAAAACTATTCTAACTATAAATTATATCCATTTCAAACCAAGATGTGATAAGATGTTCAAACAGAGCCACTGACTTGCTTTTGAGATCACTCAGTGAACTTTGGGAGTCACACTCCATCTTGAAATAGGAGAACCAACCCTTTTTTCCTTTGCACCATTCTGGCTTCTAAAGTTTGCAAAACATCAGTGGTTACATGAATTTAGAAGCCCCGATGCTCTAAGACAACAACACTGGAATACATTTTGGGAAGTTGCTTAATTTGAGGAAGGGCAGCCTGAAACCTTGGTCTTGTGTTTTCTGGACTATTGACAGCAATGTTTCCTGTTTCTTATCTCTTATGTAAGATTTCAGTAAACTGGCAGCAGGAACAGGAAATTTTGAGTCTGCAATGCATTCAGAGGAATTGTTTCTGTTGTGCATTTGGATTATACAAATAGCATGGTCCAGCAAATCCAAAACTTTACTTTAGTTCTTCAAGACCAGCAGTGGTGTCTGGTGCCCACTGGTAGGGCAGTAGGCAGGGAGACCAACAGTAGGTGGCGCCGGAGTTAATGGCAGGCAGAAACACCCCCTGACTGATTGTAAGAAAACAGGCAAGTGAGGACTGGCTGAGGGCAGATTGAGGTTGGTGAGGCAGTGCCCCATTTGCCCTCATGGAGCAGCCTCCCCTGAGGACCTGAGATCAAGTTCTGCCTTTCCTGAAATGTTACAGGGTGACCTCAATGTTGTGTTTATTTCAGCTTGCTCTCAGTGTGAGGTCAAATGTAGTAAAGTCTTGAAAGTGTGGTTTAAGCTAAATTACTGTGATAGAGAGAGAGACATGGAAAGAATAAAATTAAAAAGTGTATTTTAGCTAGCATTCTCATATTCTGTGTGCTGAAAAGGGAAAATGGTTGGGTTCCTGAGAAGTAGTGTGTTAACTACTGAATAAAACATTTTATTTGCAAAAAGGGAGACTAAGAGCAAGATAAAGCGCTTTCTTGTTCTGCTTTCTGAATGCCCCACTGTCCTCTTGTGTTATATGAGTTATGGTGAGTTCTTAATTGTGTAATGTACAGGCTGACGTCGTACAGGGTAATCTAGTTCTTCTGGCCAATTAATGATGGCATGAGCAAATGGCTGTCAGAAATATTTTGAACCCTCTATGTGGTGCTATAGTATATTATGTGACCTCCACTCTGCAGGTGCAACCTGAACATCTTCGCTCATCAAGTGAAATTACTGAGGGAGAAAAATGACCTATTTCTTAACACTTCTATATTTATTGTATTTCTATCACACCCTACCTTCAAGGAACTCAGGGTGGCCCAAATAATTCTTCTCTCCCTCTCCCTTTTATCCTCACAGGAACTCTGTGAGTTAAGTTAGGCTAAGGAAGACACAATGACTGACCTTAGGTCACTTCAGTGAGCTTTGAGACTCAGTGGGGATTTGAACGCAAGACTTTCTGAGTATAGTCTTATACTCTAACCCAGATGTTGGGAACATTTCGCCCTCCAGACATTGCTCCCATCAGCCCCACCATGCATGGTACTTGTAGTTCAGCAACATTTGGGTTTCCTTAATGGCTCACTTTATTGTTCTTCCAGGCAGCACCTGTTTGTTTTCTCCCCCTGAGTTTTTATTTGCTATTCTATAAAGCATTCTGTAGAGCAAAGCTTCTGCATAAAAGTTTCTTTTAGTAGGGTAGGAAGCCCTCTTTCTTCCACAAACTCCTGTAGAACAGTAAAATAAGCCCTCTTTAGGTTGTTGGTCCTACAAACTGCTGTACAAATTGCACTTGGCAAAGAAATGTCAATGCCTGCATTCTTGCCCTTTGTTTACAAAGTGGCATGACCCCCTTGTAGCATCAGGGAGCTAGTCTACCTGGGTGCAACATCGCCCCTGTGCTTCTGCAGTCCTCTTGCGTAATGCAATATTGCGTTGAAGGCTACTCTGAAAGTTGGCTAGGCTCCATATAGTTCTACGTATAATTCTGGCCACATTTGTATGATGTCCTACCTGACCTGAAACTTTTCAAGGCTTTCCCCTCAGATGTTGCCTGCTCCTTGAACTTGGGAACCATCGTGCAAAATGTCATTATGGTATCCGCAGAAATGTCCAAATGCATAGTGAGCAACAACTTTCCAAAATACATTGCAGAAGTATAATAATAATAATAATAATAATAATAATAATAATAATAATATTTTATTTATACCCCGCCCTCCCCAGCCAAGGCCGGGCTCAGAGCGGCTTACAAGCAATAATAAAAACAAGAAGAATGATTACAACTTAAAAACAAAAATAAAATACAACATTAAAATAATGGAACATTAAAATATTAAAATGTAGCCTCATTGCAGGAGGAGAAGGAAAAGAAAAAAGAAAGAGAGGGAGGGAGGGAATCAAATTGGCTCCAAGCCAAAGGCCAGGCGGAACAACTCTGTCTTACAGGCCCTGCGGAAAGAAATCAGATCCTGCAGGGCCCTGGTCTCATGAGGCAGAGCGTTCCACCAGGCCGGAGCCAGAGTTGAAAAGGCCCTGGCTCTGGTTGAAGCCAATCTAACTTCCTTAGGGCCTGGGACCACTAGGGTGTTGTTATTTATGGACCTTGAGGCTCTCCGTGGGGCATACCAGGAGAGGTGGTCCCGTAGGTACGAGGGTCCTAGGCCGTGAAGGGCTTTAAAGGTCAAAAGCAGCACCTTAAATCTGACCCTGTACTCCACCGGGAGCCAGTGCAGTATGAAAAGCAGAATTTGGAGATGATCACCTCTCCACTTAAGCCATTTCCAATATACAACCATCAGAGGACTACTTCATTAGGCTCTTTACCAGACAGGGATGAGGAACATCTGTGGCCCTCCAGATGTTGCTTGACTCCCAGCACCCATCAACACCTGCCAGCATGCTCAGCAGTCAGGAATTATGGGAGTCATGGTTCAGTCACATCTGATCGGCGCCTGGTACACCAGAGTTTGTTTTTTGGCAGTCTCAGAAAAATTAACATGATACGCCTCTTTAAGGGACAAATGAAAAAGAAGCCTTTATTGACTTTGCAGCAGGGATGGCTGTCCTCAGCAGAACCCCTGGCAGGTGCTCTCTGAGTTAACACCATACCCTCCAACGTTTCTCCAGTTAATATAGGGTTGTCCCATTCCATAATGATAATTTTACTATTTATATCCCACATATCTTACTGGGTTGCCCCAGCAAGTCTGGGCAGCTTCCAACATACATAAAAACATCATAAAACATTTTTAAAAACCTTCCCTATACAGGATTGCCTTCAGACAGCTCCGGGGTTGGATAACTCCATATCTTCCAACATTTCTCCAACGAAAATAGGGACATATTAAGGAAAAGTGGGACATTCTGGGATTAAATAAAAAACCGGGATGGCTTCTCTAAATCAGGGACATCCGTGGAAAATAGGGACACTTGGAGGGTATGGTTAAGAGAGGACCAGTGGGGCCTCTCTTTCTTGTCCTACAAGTGGACTTGGAGCCCTTTTTCTTGGTTTGGGGGTTGCTTTGTTTTGATGACCCTGTGAAGTAACAGATTAACCCATAAGACAGGGCTCACTAACCTTTTTGGACCAGTGGGCACTTTTTGAATTTTGACCATGTGCTGGGAGCCCCAGTCACAACATAGCTGCTGTAACAGGTGGCAAAACATAAACATTAGAGAGACAGCCATTCCCATTAGCCTTTTGTTTACCATGGGAAGTCAGCTATGTCCTGCTAGTCTTGATTGTGGGGGTCACACACTGTTGCCTTTACTTGCAGACACACACACACACACACACACACACACACACACAGGTTGTTGCTAATAATAATAATAATAATAATAATTTATACTCCACCCGCCTGACTAGGTTGCCCCAGGCACTCTGCGTGGCTTCCAACATAAAAACTAAATATCAAGGATTAAAAAGCAATCTAGGAACAACAGGAAGCGTTTCTCAGAACCAGGATAAATATAAAAGGTGGCCACACTACACTACACTTACTCTCATTTCACAGAAATCGCTTAGAAAGTACCTGCACTTTTTGCCCCATAACTTACTTTCTAGCAGAGCTAGAGACTTTAAAAAAAATGAAAGCTCAGAGTTTGAGGCACCAGTGGTGGATGCTGGGCTGGTGACCTCTGCAAAAAGGTGTAGTTAAAAATATGATTAGCTTTCCCTGGTTTAATTTTTGTACATGTACTACCTTCCTTTCTCCTTTGATTTCTTTGAGCTGTAGCCAACTAACATCTACTTGCAGCAGTAGACCCATTGAAATTAATGGACCCAAGTTAGCCATGTCTATTAATGTCAATAGATTTACTATCATTGGATAAAAATGTCACTGTGCCAATATATTTTTATTGTATTGGTTTTTTTTTTGTTTTTTTAAGCAATGGAACTATAGTTCCCCACTCCCCAAAAAACCCCTAGTATCTGGAGGGCCACAAGAACATCTGGAGACCCACAAACATTCTCACTCCTGGCAACACAGAATATGTGCTCTTGTTGCAAAGTTGACACTAAAGAAAAGCTTCAACCCACTGAAGCGGCTTCATTTTATTGTGATTTATATACGGTGTGTGTGTGTGTGTGTGTGTGTGTGTGTGTGTGTGTGTGTGTTTTACCATAATTTGTAGCTTCAAAAGGCCACTGGCTCAATATATTTTGCGCAAGTAGCACACAACACCTATTTGTTGTTTTTAAGAAGCCCACAATAGTTATTTCACAAATTATGAGGCTGAAACAAGCCATTACAGAACTGCTGACATGAGCTGGAATCACTTCATGGTTAAGCTGTGTGATGATGATGAAGAAGCAGAAGAAGAAGAGGAGGAGCAAACATTGAAATAATAATACTTTTGCCTCCCCTGCTAACATAATGCAATATATTCCACTCAGGCGTAGCATGGTTTTGCTTGCATTTAAACATACCTTGGCCGCTGCTGCCTTTTCCTTTTTCAAAGTATTCATAAGGCTGTACAGTACTTCTCAGTCTGTATTGGAGAGGGACCAATCAGAAGGAGGTCAGTTGGTTAAATAAAATGGCAGAAATGCTTTAAAAGCTTGAAATGCGCCAATCTCAATGAGGCTAGCACCTGTGTGTGGTCTGACAGTTTCAGAATGCTTATAGCCGAGACCGAAATCCATGTGCTCTTTTAATAGTCAGAATTTCCACTGCCTCCACCCCTGTTTTATTATACATTGTAGATTTTTTGTATCCTGCTTATTGAAACGTCGACAGCACCCACTTCCCCATTTCAAGAGCTTGACCCAAGTAATGCCTTTTAAAATGAAGACTCGAAGGAAACGAGAAGATACAGGCTAGGAGGAAATGAATTCTCTGCATTTTAACTGAAGTGCACTGGTGCCCCATAGAGATTAAAGAAGAAGAAGAAAATATCTTAAGCCATCCAAGCGCCAACACTCCCAGCAACACTCAGACTTAGTTATTACTTTATTTATAACCCACCGTTTCCTCCAAAGAGCTTAACATACATGGTGCTTCCTCTCCCCATTTTATTCCCACAACAACCCTGTGAGGTAGGGTAGGCTGAGAGGCAGAGACTGGCTCAAGGTCACACAGTGAGCCTCATAGCTGAGTGGAGATTTGAACCCTGGCCGACCAAGTCATAGTCCAGCACACTAACCATTGCACCACTTTGGCATCTCCTTAAGGAGAAGAGGGACATGTTCTGCCTCCATGGTCAGAGGCACTATCCCTTTGCATACCAGTTGCTGGGAATCTCAAGTGGAGACGGTGGCTGTTGTGCTCAAGTCCTGCTTGCGGGTTTCCCAGAGACATCCCACTGGCCACTTTGAGAATAGGATGCTGCACTCGATGGGCCTTTGGCCTGATCCAGTAGGCCTCTTGTGTATATATAGGCAGGTGACCTAGTGAAGGTGTGAATCGTTGCCCTCCTTGTGTAACATCCAGCCAGGCACAGCATCCCTATAACGAGAGAGAGAACCAGAAAACCAGAGGGAGGCTTGCTTTCACACACACAAAAATGTAAATTGGACAACCAGCTCAGAAGGCATCAGCAACGCCTTGTACCCTTTTCTCATAAACTGTTTTAGGAAACTCAGGGCTGTGTTTGGTGAAGCAAGGGCTGAAATGTATACAAAGCCGTAATAAAAAATGTAATTGATATGAATGCAGTTGTGCTCAAGTTGCATTGGGGTGAGAAGGGATGCCGTGAAGGGAGGGAGATGATTCGACAGCAGGCAGAGCTCTATCCAGCCAGGCGAGCAAAAAGAGGCATTATTGGAGTTCAATGACACACCCAAGCAAAAGCACTTGAGCTGAGCCAGTGAGGGGTGTAGCCTGGGGAGAGTCCTGAGGGCCAGATGGAGTTGCCTGGAGGGCCACATTCAACCCCTAGACTGAAGGTTTACCCAGCAGTGCCTTAAGGCCTCATGGAAGATACAAAACTATACAGTGGTACCTCGGGTTACAGACACTTCAGGTTACAGATGCTTCGGGTTACAAACTCGGCTAACCAGGAAGTGGTTGCTCCAGGTTAAGAACTTTGCCCCAGGATAAGAACGGAAATCGTGCTCCAGTGGTGCAGCGGCAACAGGAGGCCCCATTAGCAAAAGCACACCTTGGGTTAAGAACCGTTTCAGGTTAAGAACGGACCTCTGGAACGAATTAAGTTCTTAACCCAAGGTACCACTTCTTCTAATATGATGTGTTCGTGGCATGATTAGTACAGGTGGCTGTGCTCAGAGCGGACCCATCTGAAATCACTGGACCTAAGTTAGTCCTTGTTGCAAATTTCAGTGCGTCTACTCCATGTGGGACTAATGTTGGATGCAACCTCGAGGCAGCATATCTCTGGGTATCAAGGGCTGGATCCATGTGTTTGAGAAAGACTCTCGCCTTTATGGCTATGAAACAGAATGCTCGGTTAGCTGGTCCTTGGGCTCCCATCCAGCAAAGTAGCTATTCTGTGGGTCTTGACCTGTCATTGGTTTTGAAACCTAACATTCACCTGAACCCTGCTTTTTTTCTTCCAGGAAAGTTATTTTCTGAGAATAGAGATGGAGCCGGAAGCCTTCAGCCCTGGCGGGGACAATGCCAGCTCAGACTCCACCTGCTACCAATGCTCCTCATGTCGGGCCGACGAGGAGCGGAGCTGTGCCAACTCCATGCGTGGGCGGGCCAAGACGCGCAGCTTGTCTGCATCTCCGGCCCTAGGCAGCACCAAAGAATTCAGGTATGAAGCCAAGAGGCACTGAATTGACTCACGTAAATCTATGCCACCTGCTGGCTGCTAAGCTACATTTGTGCATATGTGCCAGAGGTTCCCCGTTGTCAGAACTCCCATAACTTTCTGACGGTAGGAAAGGAACCCTGGCAATCATCTCCTGAACATCTGGAGATCTTTGCCCTTTGTTAACAGGGATGTCTGTGCAACAAGGTCCTGTCCAAACACTGAGAGAGGTGGTACTTTATTTTTAATATTTCTATACCGTTTATATTAAAAGACCTCTCAGAGCAGTTTGTATTGTAAAAAAAGAAAGCGTATTTAAAACATTTTAAAACAGAGAAACCAAATTGCAGAGTCCTAGGGCAGAAAAGTTACAGGGAAATGTCAAGCAATTAAATCGGGTTTTCTTCTCTTATAACGCTAGAACTCACAGACATCCAGTGAAGCTGAATGTTGGGAGATACAGAACAGATAAAAGAAAGGGCTTCTTCACACAGCACATTGTTCAGCTATGGATGCCCACTAACTTGGATAGCTTTTTTAAAGAATTGGGCAAAGTCATGGAGGTTAGGACTATCAACGATTACCAGCTATGATGGTTATGTTCTGGCTCTATGGTTAGATTGCTTCCAAATACAGTACCAGTTGCTGAGAGGGGAGAGTGCTCTTGTGCTTGAATCCTGCTTGTAGGTTTCCTGGAGGCATCTGGTGAGAGCAGGATGCAGGATTAGATGGGCCAATAGCCTGATGCAGGAGGTTCTTATGTTCTTACTAAACAATGAAGGCATCCAATAGTTCGTGCCTCCTGAATAATGGAGAGGAAGGCATTCCAGAAGTAAGGGACCACCACAAAGAAGGCCTTGCCTACATGCTTCTGCCAGATGTCTCTGTAGGTCATGGCTTCTCAAGGCCTCTGATTACCTTTGTGATCTACTCAGCCGGTATCAGGGAAGCCTGTCCTTTAGGTAATCTGGTCCTAAGTTGTTCAAAGCTTTATATGTTCATAACAAAATATTGGATGGCTCAATAGGCTAACAGGCAGTCTGTGCAGTTCTTTCAACACTGGTTCTTTCAACACATATGCATGACAAGAGGCTCCAGGTCAGTATCCTAGCTGCTGCAGTTTGCACCAGCTGAAGTTTCCAAGCCTCAATGGTAGCCCCATAGAGAGCTCATTATGAGAATCTAATTGGAAGGTGCCAATGTATGTATCATAGTGGTCAGGCTATCCCCATCCAACGCTGAATCTAGGAGGACGCCCTCACCCAAACTACATACCCATTCAGGATACGCAAACTTCCCAACTTCCAAATCTGGGAAACCAGTTACCCACAGAGCCTCCACCACCCAGCTCTTCACTGCAGACAAGTCCCAGTTCAGGTCATGCACAGCCTCTCCTGATTCAGATGTTGCCCAGAAATAGAACTGGATGTCATCAGCATATTTCTGGCACCTCGCCAAAAAAATAAATAAATCTCCTAATGACTGCTCTGAGTGGTTGGTCCTATAGGTGTTAAATAGCACTGGAGAAAAGTTGGTTCCCCCTGCAGCACCCTGCAGTACTCTTTGTCAAAAGACCGCAAGGTGGCCTAGAACTTAGAACATAACAAACAGTGTGTGTCAGTGCACAACATAATAGCCTTATATAGCAAAACAATTAAAAGTTAAAATTAATAGTAATAAGCAGGGAATGTAATGCACTGGTCACGTAATGCATACTTACTAAGCAGCATTGTCAACTTTTACACAGTATCGTCCTGTCAATCTGGAGTGCAATAACATCAGTTATTACCTCTTTTTGTTGGGTGCAACTATAAAGCAGCATATCTAACAACAGCCTTCTGAAAAATAAGTGAGCGGGCAAATCAGTAGCAGGCTATCTAAACTGTATAAAGTCCTTCTAAAGTGTAAAGTCCTTCCACCATCTCTCTCCCACTTTCATGGGAGTGCAGTTCTTACCCCCTAATGGTACCCCAGGAGGGTAAGTACCCTGTGGCATCTCCCCTTTGATTTTTTTTTATACAGTTTTATAATTTTACGATGACCTATATACACACACACATATACATATACATATACATATACATATACATATACATATACATATACATATACATATACATATACATATACATGATGGAAGCCTACCAACTTGTTCTTAGACAGCCGGGATGGAAAACAGCTTTTCACCAAGACATACAACCAGGAAAAGAAGGTTGTAAAAATCCACTGTAGCTCAGTGGTAGAGCATCTGCTTTGTATGCAGAAAGTCCCAGGTTCAATCTATGGCAGGCATGTCCAAAGTCCATTTCGGGGGCCTAATCCGGCCCGTTGGCTGATTTAATCTGCCCCCCGTGGCATTATATGTCCTGGGGTAAAATCCTAAAAGGGACGCGGGTGGCGCTGTGGGTTAAACCACAGAGCCTAGGACTTGCCGATCAGAAGGTCAGCGGTTCAAATCCCCGTGACGGGGTGAGCTCCTGTTGCTTGGTCCCTGCTCCTGCCAACCTAGCAGTTCGAAAGCACGTCAAAGTGCAAGTAGATAAATAGGTACTGCTCTGGTGGGAAGGTAAACGGCGTTTCCACACGCTGCTCTGGTTCGCCAGAAGCGGCTTAGTCATGCTGGCCACATGACCCAGAAACTGTACACCGGCTCCCTCGGCCAATAAAGCGAGGTGAGCACCGCAACACCAGAGTTGGCCACGACTGGACCTAATGGTCAGGGGTCCCCTTTACCTTTACTAAAATCCTAAAAAAAGCTCAACATTGTAACAAAAGCTCAACAACTTCAACAACTTTGGTCTGCCCTCACGCAAGTTCACTTCATTAAATCTGACCCTCTTTGAAAAAAGTTTGGACACCCCTGATGTATCTCATCTCTGGGAAGGGTTGAGAATTTCGCCTGTCTGAAATCTGGAGAGACACTTCCAGTCAGTGCAGCACTGAGCTAGATGGACCAATGGCTTGACTTGGTATAAGGCAGCTTCCTAGAAAATTAATGGTGATGTTGTTGTTGATAATGATGATAGTGTTGCATGCTACCCTGGTCTCTGAGCAGTGTGAGATTTCAGGGATGCTTACCCAGGGTTCGTGTTTGCTTTGGAAAGAGGCACAGCAGAGGCAGTGGTGCCTTAATGATATATGGTTTATTTAAACACATGTACAACCTGAATCTGCAATGGAGAGGTTCACAGCATTAACTCCCCAAGATGGTCTTGCTTCTTCCAAAGCCACAGCCCTGGATTCCAGCAGAAATCAGACCTGTCTCTCTCTGCTTCTCCAGCCTGCCACTTTTGCATCCAGCTTCAGCTGTGGCTTTTTGTCTTTCGAATTAACCAGGGAGGGAGGCCCACCCATTCGCCCTCTGGTACAGAGCCACTCCCTTTGTTCCCTTAAGCAGTTACCTTTAGTGGGCCATTACCAGGACGCGGGTGGCGCTGTGGTCTAAACCACTGAACCTAGGACCTGCTGATCGGAAGGTCGGCGGTTCGAATCCCTGTGACAGAGTGAGCTCCTGTTGTTCGGTCCCAGCTCCTGCCCACCTAGCAGTTTGAAAGCACGTCAAAGTGCAAGTAGATAAATAGGTACCACTCCATCGGGAAGGTAAACAGCGTTTCCGTGCACTGCTGCGGTTCACCAGAAGTGGCTTAGTCGTGCTGGCCACATAATCCGGAAGCTGTCTGCAGACAAACGCCGGCTCCCTTGGCCAATAGAGTGAGATGAGCGCCGCAACCCCAGAGTGTCTGCGACTGGACCTAATGGTCAGAGGTACCTTTACCTTTACCAGGCAGTCCTAGCTATTCCAGCAGTTGAATCTGTGCTGGATCCAGGAATTAGAAGGATTGATTCGTGTTACGAGAATTAAAGGTCTAAGATATAAAATAAATGTACCAGGCAAACACATACATAAATATATAAACCACATGTCTGAAACAGTACAGGAAAATAATCCTGAAGTCATTTTGACTCTCCCTGTGACCTCAAATATTCCTCTGCTGTTTGGATGGAAATGGGAAAAGCCTCCCCATTGTCTCTGTGCTCACAAATCCTGCCTTAAGGGCACATTTGGGTATGAATAGGGTGAGCCTGTGACCTGGACTCAGGAATTAAGTATTTATCATCACAAAAGAATAGCCAGGCTCTCAAAGTAAACTCATCAACAGGTTTCCTGCCAGTCAGGATTCTGCTGTAGATGGCCCCTTCTGTGATGTATGTATTGGGGGGTGGTCTTGGGCTCCAGTGTGGGCAATTTCAAAAGTCTTTATAACGGGCTTGCACACCATTGTTCCGGGTTCCTCCTCTCTCCTGCATCTGGTGAGTGAGCACCCTGTTGTAGCAGTTAATAAAGATCAGGCTTGCTAGCTGCTTTGCTTCTCAATATTCTCTGGTTGGCCTCTGTTATTTTCTCCTACCGATAGAAAACCTACATAAGGACTCCTGGGTACCCCATAAGAGAAAAGGAGCAGTTTTTTTCTTATAACAATTAGATTTTAACATTTGCTGGATCCAGGGATTAGAGGGGTCTGACACACCCACACTCTCATAACAACAATAATAATGAGCTTAAAGATAAAGTCTGTCTCACTGCATTCAAATGAGGCATCAGGAATTCTATATTTCTTAAAATGACAGCTGGAAAGTTTTTAAATAGCAGGCAGTTTTGTTTCCCCACTAAACAGAACCAACAGTTGTGTGGTCTCTTGAAGTAGCTTTTTGTGGTTTCAGCTGTATGGTGACTAATGATGGTGCAAAGGTAACTTGCCAGAGATTGCTTGTTGCTCCACAGTATGCAAGTGCTGCCCATTTTCTATCTGATTTGCCAGACTTAATGTGAAAGCTTGTCACGTGGACAACTGGGACTGCTGGTAATCTGTGCAGGGATCATTGTCCCGGTTGTCATCACAAGAAAGGAAGGTGCTGCTTGCTCGATCGATCGCCAGAGTGCCTGCCTGCCTGCCTGCCTGCCTGTCACCTCTGTACAGCTTGAGACCATGGAGTTGCTTAGC